CCCCAAAACCCCAAAACCCCAAAACCCCTCTTAGGCGAATTCGAACAATCATTGTTCATTAAATAAGTTTAACTTGCTATTTACCAAGTTGAGTGATGTTTGATATTATTCTTAATTGGATTAAAATTTAGATAATAAATTCTAAAATGCAGCAGCACAAGCTAGAGTAAAGTCCTCTCACTGTTCGCAATCAAATCCTAGAACTTAGTTTGGATAGCGATCATAATCTAAGCGATATCTCCTCTCATGATGAACTCAAGGAGGAGGAAATATTCAGAAGTGTCAGGTCAACTGGCAAGGATGAGGGCTAATAGCAGAATGAGTAAGTCTTCAAGACTCCTGTGATAAATGATGTCAGAAACCAAAAAGCTTTTCAGAACTCTATGAGTCATAACAAAGATGGCTTTTATGACTCTTCCAAGACTGGCTATAATTTCATGAATACACAGAGCAACAAAAAGCTGAACTTAGTCTGTGACTTTAGAAATGTAACTAATGCAAACAACTACAATAATCAGAATGCTGTGAACGAGGGGTTTTAAGATGAGAACGTCGAAAATTAAGAATAAGATTAGATGTAATAAATTGGTAGATTGCAAATTACTCCTGATATTTATCAGCAATTGAACCAATCGTCACATGATTACTAAGGTGATCAAAAGAGAAATAGAGATGGCTAATTATACCAGAAAGTAAGAAAATTTAACTACTAGACTCCATAACAGGAGTATTATGAGCCATTTTAACTAAACCCCAACGCAGCTACTGATAGAAATCATTAGCACCACTTAAATTAGGAACCTGACCACGTTGCTCAGTATTATCATGCTGCCCAAGACAACCATCAGAAACCCCAACACAATAGGGCACAGACTACAGAACTTGATTAGTTTAAATAGAAACTCCCAGCTCTTGTGAATAGGTAACTGAAAAATAAGCACTCAATGAATATTAAGCTTGAAGATAATAACAATGTAATAGCTAAGGAAATTTAGAAGAATATGAATAAAAACATCAGTAACTTTAATATGAACTAGAGTCCTAAGAACGAATTCGTAAAAGCTTAGCAGAACAATTTATTCACAGCATCAATGCCCCCAAAATATAAGAAGCGCAAGACTGATGGTATGTAATCAAAAGATTCAGCAGACAACTTGAACTTCGATCCAGATCATTAAAAGAACAATATTAGCGACCATAAGCAGTTAGTAAGCAATTTGGTACAATAGAACACTATTAAAGGGTCATCAACATCGTCTATTCTCAAGAAAAAGGCTGAGTTAATCACCAAGGGCTATGATTTCTCGAGTATCATTCTAGATCCCCATAATGCTTAGAATTACGCCAATTTCGTGCATGCTGAGGATGATTCAAACAGAAACCGAATTATCACTAAGAAGACAATTATTGAGTACATGAATGGAACTGGCAGTAATATATTCTCACAGTCAGGCAATCAGAGTATACTGCATGCATTGTTCAATTATGATCCAGAAAATAAAGTTATGGAACCCTCATTTATGGGGCTTAAAGCTTAAAATGAAGAACAGCCTCCTGTTGAGGTTTAATAATTAGTAGAAGATGAGAAAGAAGTTATTAATAACTAGAATCAATAATAAGAAATGCAACCTTCTGATCTAAAGTCTAGTTAAGAGTCTGGAATAGATGCCACTATCATAGATATGAGTGAACTTGAATCACTAAATCCAATAGATTGTGGCTTGAAAGTCAAATTTATCATAGAAAACTCTACACTCAATTAAACTCTTATCTTGCCAGACTCTCACATAAAGATCAAAGATCTCGTTATTGACAAGCCTTTAACGATTAAAGGAAAGCCAGGTACAATCCTTGAGATTACCCATGGCTGTATTGAAGTTAACTTTGGAGAAAATGAGAAGTATAAAGATGTCTTCAGTCTTTGTGAATGCCATGTGCTCTATAGTGATCGGGCAGATCTCATCTTTATTAAGGAAGAACTTGAAAAGGAAGATATCAATAATAATCTAAATAGCAATAACATTCTGAACAGCCACAGAGGCTACACCACTGCTCCCACTAAGCTTAGTACAGAACTAATCAGGGGCTAAATTCTAAAAATCAAGAGTCCTCCATCGGAGAATGAGTACATAGAGACAGATCAAAATAGACTGCAAACTGAAGGTACTTAGAACGGTTCCAAGAAAAACCTGCTTTTCAATAAGGACCCAAGCAACGATAAGATCGGTGGAGGTCCAGGAACAAATAATGTGCAAATGAGTGTATCAGATAATACTAACAGTGTATACCCTCTGTTTCAAATCAAGAACTACAGCTATGTTGAGATCAGGGATTGCCTCATTTCATCAAAGAATAAGTAGAGTGTCATGGATGTAGCCTTCTGCCTCAATGAGAAGGATGAAAATGATAGTGATCTAGCTAAGCAGTACAAGGGAATCCTATCTGTCAAGTCTTGCAATATACAAAACTTCTCCTTAGCCTTTTTAGCTGGTAGTAATAGCATATTGAGCGTTGAGTTAAGTCATATCACAAATGTTAGATAAGGAGCAATAGCTGTCGTTAATCCTAAGATTCTAAAAGTGTCAGGAACTGTAATAGATACTATAATGGGTAATGGAATCTAGATCTTATTCAAAAATATAAAAATGAATGTAATCAAAAGAGGGTCAGTACTAACTTCTAAAGTATCATCCATGAGTCTAAGTAACTTAGGCAGTACTAGCCAAAGAGAAATCATCAAAAAGGTCTATATTGAGGATAATAAAATAATTAACTGCAAAGAATCAGGCATATTTATTAGATCTATTGTTCCAGATCAAATGAAGGTGGGATCTAATCAGAAGTACCCTAGAATCAATGCAATAATAAAAATTCAGAAGAATAAGATCTACCAGAACAAGTATTGTGGCCTTCACTTGAACAAGATTCATCTGCATCAAATAGAGGTGAATAACTGCGAGTTCTATTAGAATTAATTTGCAAATATCCTTCTAGATAAAGCATAAGGCTAGAATGTAGACTTATTTACTATCTTGAGATGTAAGATTTGGAGTAGCTTGGAGAACGGGCTTATTATCAAGGACAGTCATAACATTACTATACATGAATGCGAATTTATCAAGAATAAACTATCTGGGATCTATCTTTTCGACACTGGAGCTATTAAGTATAGCAAAAAAAGAAAGATGATCTAATAACAGCTGATGAATACCTCTTAATAGCTGATCAGTAATATCACATAGCAAAACAAAAAAGGCGATATCTTTGAGTTGAATAACGAATCTAACATTGACGAGAACAACATTCACAATGATTCTATTAGAGAGGTTATTAGAATGAAGCAAGAGAACTTAGATACCAATTAGATAATAGGAGGAGGTAGGAATCTGACTATGCAATCATCGTTCAGAAGAGGTACGATTAATTACAACCAAGCAACAACTTAATAACCAAACTCATAGTCAAATACTAAAAATGGAATGCCAAGAATATAGTTGAATGGTCTAAATATCAACAAAACTAGTAAACTTGATTCATTAGCTGGAGGACCATGTGATAACGTTGAGATTGGGTTCATAAGAATTATAAAGTGTAAATTCATTGATAATAAACAGAATGGGATGTCAATAGAAGACCTTTACAAGAAGACAGTTGATATTTAGAGTTGTAAATTCAAAGAAAATTACCTTAATGGAATAAGCATTTATTAAGAGTTGGATACAGAAGATGAACTCAGAGCTAACTTTGATAGCTAGAGTTTTTTATCTAATCCAAGTTCCCCGAGGTAAAAATCAAATCATCTATTCACAAATTATCAATCTTAAAACAACCTGAAGAATAATCCTAAATTTTTGATTATTAGAAGAGATATTCTCTCCTATGCCAAGATAAACATCATGAACTGTGAAATTATTTTGAATAAACACTATGGTCTTCTGCTAGGTCATACTAGAACTCTGATTAAAGGCTCTCTGATAAGTGATAACATGATTGGAGCGATTAGAATACCAAATTTAAATGTAAAATTTCTGATACGACTAATGGATTATAATTAAAATAACAGCAGAGGAAATAGTGGAAATAATATCGAATTGATTTAAAAAGATAGACCTGCAATTTTAGGTAAAGTAGGGGGTGACTGGGGTGAGATTATCAATGTTTACAAAGAGCTTTAAATGAAATCTGGGTCTGATATATCAGATCTCTCCAGAATGCTTGATGATATTAATTACAAACATGGGGCTGAAGAAAATCCTGATTAAAACGATAAGAATAGTAAACATGATTAAGAGAGAAATAACAATAATATTGAAATTTTAAATATAAAGGAAGGAACTTAAAAAAAGACTAAATATTAGTCCTAAGCTTCAAGTAAGAAGAGCAAATTCAATTGCTTTTAAAAGCAAGAGAAGAAGAGGATCGAATAGATTGGTGATTACTTGATTATTAAAGAAGTGGACAAGCGTGGTACTTCCACCAATATTGAAAAGCGAAATCAACTAGGATAAATAAACGATGGAAAGAGTAGAAATGGCTGCAATTTAATGAAATGTTGCACCTCGACATCTAATAGCAGGAAAATGAGTGATAAATAAACGAGTCCTAAAAGGTAAAAGTATAAAATGCAATCAGAGCAAAATTGTACGATATTTTGAGCCGATATCATTATAAATATCCAAATTTGCCCAATTTTATCAGGTATTTTTAAGAAACTTGAATTAATATAAGGCGATACATTAAACTTAATCTTAAGTCAATAATCATATTCGATATTTAATCCCCTTAATTCTTGAGGGGTTTTGGGGTTTTGGGGTTTTGGGGTTTTGGGGTTTTGGGG